ATTAAAATGTTATTACAAATTAGTGGGGACAGGAAAAAAATGATTCAATTTAAAAATAGACAATCACTATGAATAGACACTTCATAGAAGACCAAAACCCAAATAATACATCCAATAGACGTGAAAATATTCTCCACCTCCCTCACAGTCAGAGAAATGACAAAGGTAGGTAACAACCAGGTATCATTTATAACCATCAGATTGATAACAATCAATAAGTGATAAATGTGCAGCTGCAAATGTACATTGTTTCAGCACATTTTCAAAAAAGCAATTTATTGAAATCACTTAAAGTTGAAAATAGACATACTCTTGATTCAGATTTGACTGCTGGAAATATATCCCATAGAATTGTAAGCATAAGTATTGAAAACAATAGGAGACAAGTATGCTGATTACAGATCTGTTTATAATGACAAAAATCTTGCAAATAGTATGAACTAATAAAGGGAAGGGCTGAATAAACTTTGGAATGCCACTAAAACAGAATGTTATACAACCAACCAAAGAATAAGTTAGAGCTTCATTAGTTTGCTGGAAGGAGCTGGATGGGGGTGGGAATGGGCAGATAATTCTCTCTCCAAACGGAGAGGCACTGAAAGGTTGCAAATAGAAAAAGTATAGCAAAAAGGGATGGGAATCTATTCCATAATAAACTGTTTATGTATTTACCATGCCTTGAGATTGGGGTGGTAATTTAGAACAAGGGAGAAAACAAAGAAGAGATGATTTCAATTTCAATACATTGATTAATATTAACTCAAAACAGGGTTTGGGTGGGAAACTACAGCAGGAACTGACTCATTTGGTGTTGTAAGCATGTTCATTTCTGTGGGGCCAAAGTTGGATCTGGCTGGGAATCTGCTGCTCAAGCAAGTGGTGGGGGGAGAGGGTGTGTAGGGAGAAGCACAGGTGTGAAATGCAGGGAAATCAACGTGTTGATATTTTGCATTTACTTTACATAGCTTCGAGCTGAGTTTGGTCTTGAAAACTTCACAAGCCTACAGAGCACTGGGGATCAGATATCTTTACAACATAGAGATGCTTTGGGGGCACCTGGGTGGCTCAGCGTGTTGAGGATCTGACTTCAGCTCAGGTCATGATCTAGGGTTCATGAATTCCCCCCCCCCCCCCACCTTGGGCTCAATGAGCGCAGAGCCCACTTAGAATCCTTTGTCTCCCCCCCCCCCGCCCCTCCCCTGCTCAGTTCTCTCAAAAATAAATAAACTTTAAAAAAAAAAACAACATAGAGATGCTTTTGTTTTGGGGTCTCAAGAAAGAAAATTCTTAAATGCTTCCCACTCGCACTCCAACCTCACCAGAAAGCCTGAGCCATTGCCACAAAGAGGGTCATTTAATCCATTCAGCTCCCAGCCTCACTGTTGACTGCCATCAGCCACAGCACTTGGGCTCAGATACAAATGTGACTAGTAATTAAAATATCTGTCTCAGGGGCACCTGGGTGGCTCAGTTGGTTAAGTGTCTGACTTTAGCTCATGTCACCATCTCGCAGTCCATGAGTTCAAGTCCCACGTAGGGCTCTGTGCTGACAGCTCAGAGCCTAGAGCCTGCTTTGGATTCTGTGTCTCCCTCTCTCTCTCCCCCTCCCTTGCTTGAGCTCTGTCTGTCTCTCTCTCAAAAATAAATAAAGATTAAAAAAAATGTAAATATCTTTTTCAGGCAAGGGTCTCCATGTCATTGCTGTTGTTACTGTATCTGTGTATTTATTTCAGCAGCAACAGCACCATAAAACAAGGAGCATATGGGTCTGTGTGATAGGTCAATGTCTTTTACCCTGTGTAAGGAGGTTAACCCTAAGGGATTGGTCTAAAGATAAAATGAAATCGTTCATCTGAAACCACGCAAAGACCAATCAAATAGAAGGTGTTGGTATTAAACATTATTCGTTTCAACCTTAAAGAAATGTCAGGTCAGTGAGAGGAAAAAGAAAATCAAAGAATGAATCCATCTTTAAATACCAGATTATTACGAGTTTTGGGAGATTTCCAACTGAACCTTTTCACTAAGTATATTTTGGATAAATAATGACCCTTAGTTCAAAGTGAGCAGAAGACACTTAGAAAATACTACACATATGTGAATATTACACTTGTGGAAGTGAACATTTGCTCATTTAATCTGCAGCCCCTGGGCAGGTGTTGCCTTCTTCCCCCTACATTCCAAAGCAAAGGGCTGATCATCTAAGCATAACCTTAGGGAAGGGAGGTGGCCAGTGACTAATTTTGTGACGCTTAGCTCAACATCGTTCTGATGTTTGTATAAGTTTGAGGTTGGAAATTCCAGAGTAGGTTTCTGTACAGAGAGTCCCTTAAGGATGCTGTGATTTCTGGTCCCTCCATGGAGAGAGGTGCTTCCCTTAACCTCATGCCGCGTGAGAGAAGCTGCAAGAAACCCCTCTGGGGAGAATGCAGGGCTGCCTCCAGCAGCATAGGACAGTCGAGGGCTGTGGTTGGGAAATAACTGAGCCATATCTACCAAAAGCACAAGTTTCTTGTAACTAGATGCAGGCCAACCCTGCAAGGGAAAGAGCCAAGCTGGTGCCTGTTTAAAGGGCTGACCCCATCTCTGGAGAGTGACGGGACTTCAAAAGAGAAGGTTGAGTGGGTATGGGCAGTGGAGAGCCTAGAGCCCAAGAGCAGGAGCAGTAGGCCATCGCCACATCAGTGACCTGCAGCCCTGAAGAGTACTCATGGAAGTTGCCATGTGTCATATCTGAGAGACAAGAACCGATTTCAACGTGTAGCGTGGCCAGAAGCCAACACCAAGATGGTGCCACTGAAATACAGCTGAGACATCTCATAGGATCTTGGGTAGGAGGTGCAGAAGGGCCATGGAGGATTACATTCAGGGGCCAAAGAGCCATAGGTAACCTAGGAGCTCAGGCAAGCCTCTCCCTCTCCCCACTCCCTTGCCCTCTGTTTGTCCCTTGCCCCCTTTCTACCTTCTAAGATACTTTCAAATATACTTGAATCTCTGCTTCGTCTTTTCTTCTCTCCAATTTCCACTGGGAATGGTGCAAAGATTCAAATAGCTCTGGCTTATAGGTTTTCTTACATCTAGAAAGAACCCCAAACTGACAGTACAAATAAGGTGCAAATTCCAAGTCCCGGGGAGAGAGATTTTGATCAGCCCAGACTTTGATTTCTACCCTTAATTCCCTCAACTAGGG